CTCATAGATCACAAATCTCAGTATAAAACTTCCCGAATGCGACAAACTGGCAGTTTCTATCGATGAGGAAACACCAACACATCTCTCTCTCTCTCTCTCTTCTAAGCAGGTACGTGCAATTGTCCAGTATCAGAGTCAGACAAACACGCAGACATTTGGTGATCAGCAGGTATTGAATTCATGACCGCCAGCACTAAAAGCCTCAGCCCCAATTCCTACCACTTCAGCTAAAGGAGTGACCTCCTTGCTTGGAAAAAATAGGCAATTACATAGTCACTGAAGCCAGTGCTTTCCATTATGTCTCTGGGTTTTCATACAGGCTAAAGTAAATGCCAAAAATCTTAATTAGCACAGTAAGGAAGTGTTACCCCAAACCGACATGCCAAGCCACAGAATTTACCCTGCCCAAAGAGGGTAGAAAGATTGACACTCCTTTGATCTCACCCCTTCTCTAGCTAACAAATAATCTCTTCAGAGTGAGATGATTTTCACCCTGATACTCATACAGCAGAGACAGAAGTCACATCTTGCTGCTCGGATTAGTAAACAGGAGTGTTAGTGAAAGGTTTCAGAATAGCAGCCGTGTTAGTCTGTATCCGCTATGCATCCGAAGAAGTGGGCTGTAGTCCACGAAAGCTTATGCTCTAATAAATTTGTTAGTCTCTAAGGAGTGTTAGTGTGTGGGGAATGATTAACCTGTGTGTCATTGTATTTATGCAGTTTGTATTTTATTGAACAACTGGAATGAGCAGCTGTGAACATCTGGCTCTGTGGATTAAGCCCTTCCCTGAGCGGGTACCCATGTCCATTAAGAAACTGATCTCCATTTACCATCACTTACTTCACTACAGAGAGGAGACAGGTTTTTCGCACCATCCACCTGCCCACATCTCTGTAGGTGTCTGAGCTCTGTTCAGAGGAGATGGAAAAGGGAAATCACTCGGAAGCGACTGAGTTCATTCTCTCAGGACTGACAGATCGTCCGGAGCTGCAGGTTCCCCTGTTTGTGCTGTTCCTACTGATTTATGGTGTCACCCTGGTGGGGAATGGGGGGATGATTTTGTTAATCACGATTGATCCCCGACTCCACACCCCCATGTACTTTTTCCTCAGTAATTTGTGTTTCTGTGACCTCTGCTTTTCCTCGATGATTTCCCCTAAGATGCTGCTGAATTTCTTAGCTGAGAAGAAAATCATTTCTTACACTGCCTGCACTGTGCAAATGTATCTCTTTCTCTCTTTTGCAGATGTTGAGTGCCTGTTGCTGGCTGTGATGGCGTATGACCGTTATGTGGCCATCTGTAACCCGCTGCTCTATACGGTCACCATGTCCAGGCAGCTTTGTAAAGGGCTGGTGGCCGGGGTATACGCTGTGGGCATGGTAGATTCAATGATACACACATTTTGTACACTTCATTTGTCATTCTGCAGCTCCAACATCATCAATCATTTCTTCTGTGATATCACCCAATTGCTGGTGCTTTCCTGCTCTGACACCCGCATCAATGAGATTGTGATGTTTGCCTTCGTTGGCTGTATTGTAGTGAGCAGCCTTGTCACTGTCCTCCTCTCCTATGTCTATATCATCTCCACCATCCTGCAGATCCGCTCTGCCGAGGGTCGACACAAAGCCTTCTCCACCTGCACTTTCCACTTGATCGCTGTGGTCCTGTTTTATGGCATCCAACTTTTCATGTGTTTACGTCCCACCTCCAGCTATTCCATGGACACAGATAAAGTGGCCTCAGTGTTTTACATGCTGGTGATCCCCATGTTGAACCCCCTCATCTACAGCCTGAGGAACACGGAGGTGAAGGACGCCCTGAGGAAAGCAATGAAGAAACTCCTAACCAATTCCTGAAACTGTTTAACTTAGTACTCGTTTAGTGATGGGGAGTGGAAACAGGTGAATTCAATTCCCAGCCCATTGCAATGTAATTTCACAGAACCCGTAATAGTATTGTTCATTAATGTATTCTTGTTATTATTAGTTTGTTTGTATTCCAACAAGGCCTGAAGTCCCCAACTAAGATCGGGGCTTTATTGGGGTATTGCCTCAGCAAAATTCCTTGAGCCACCTGTTGCACATGTGTGAATATCTGTGATGTGCTTTGAACGCACAGAGCTGTTTGTATTGGGAAGGAAGTGGGGGGCATCAAATCTATCTCCCTCTGCTTTGTCGTGGGTTTAGTTTCGTTATGCAGTTGCAAGTATGAAGTGTGGGATTTCTATGGCTGAACCAAAGGGAGTTTTGCACACCCTCCTGATACTCTGCAGCCCTTTATGTCCCCTATGGGGTTGTTGTAGAGATTGTCACCTGGTTTGTATCCATGCATGTGGAGGA